TAGAACAAAATAAAATGAAATATAGCAAATGAAAACAAAAAATAAAATACAGTGAATAGAATAGAGCAAAATAAAATAAAATATAGTAAATAAAAAAAAAATAGAATAGATCAGAGTACAACAGATTAAAATGTAATTCAGTACAATTCAATAGAATACAACAGAAAAATAAATTTACATAAAAAAATAAAATTAAATAAAATTAAATAAAAATAAGAAAAATTAAATTAAATAGCCCCTGGCTACCTGAGTTGGACACAGGAGGTGACACAGCTCAGGAGGGACACAGGGACCCCCACTGGGCTCTCCGAGGGCTCCACATCCCATTTTCCAAGCCAACCAGGACCCCGTGGAGTCTCTCACTGCAGGAAAACTGTTGGGAGTGCAGGGAATTGCAGGATTTGCTTTTCCAGTGGTGATCAGGGCTTTCCCTGCCCTCCTCCTCAGAGGGAATGGGGAGAACGGACCAGGAGGAGCTTTAGGGAGAAAGAAAAACATCAACATCATGATAAATAAATGTAAAATATAAAATATATTGTATAAAAATATAGTATATGGAATACATTACATATTTTATATAATACATATATTAGGCATTCTATATTAAATATAAAATATAATACATAGACTGTGACATATTTATTAGAATATAAAAATAATATGTAAACCAAAATAGTATATATATATATATAATTTTCTATTATTTTATTATTTACACTATTGCCATAACTGGGAATGGGATGGGATCACACAGCTTTTGGGGGTGAAGCCCCCCTGTGCACTGGTGACATCAGGGATGGTGGCACAAGGGTGAGGGGCTCCGTGGGGACACAGGGAGGGCTCCCGGCTGGATTCCCACCACGCACTGGGAAGGCTCTCCCAGAACAATCAGGCTGCAGGTTTGGACCTTCCAAAGGGCTTTTTCCCAAAAAAAGTGCCGTGAGGTCTGACATTCTTGGTCGTTGCCTGCACCTTCTGGAGCCAGGCTGGGAGAGCTGGGAATGGTCAGCCTGGAGAAGGGAAGGCTCCAAGGGGAGCTGAGAACCTAAAGGGGCTCCAGGAGAGCTGGAGAGGGACTGGGGACAAGGCATGGTGGGACAGGACACAGGGAATGGCTTCAGAGAAATGGAGATTTGGGTGGAAAATTGGGAAGGAATTGCTGGCTGGGAGGGTGGGCAGGCCCTGGCCCAGGATGCCCAGGGAAGCTGTGGCTGCCCCTGGATCCCTGGAAGTGTCCAAGGCCAGGTTGGAGCAAGCCCTCTCCCTGTGCCCTCCCAGCCAGATGTCCCGGCTGTCCCCAGCATGGCACAGCTGGGAATTAGTCTTCCTAGGGAAGGGATGTCCTTGCTCTCCCTCTCTCCTTCCAGCCACAGTCTGGCAGGAAACAAGATATGCCAGGGGGATGTGACACCTCCTCCGTGGATGCTGGAGCGGTGCCCACCGGGAATGTCCCAGCGTGGTCCTGCCTGGCTCCTCCAGGCTGAATTGGGAAGGGAAGGGCGTCAGTGCTGTGGTGCCAGTGCGAGAAAAGCGAGGAAGCTGCTTTTTTTAGGGAAGGAAAAGCTCATCAGGAGCAATTTGGCAAAGCCGTGGTGGCCGAGGGGGGCTGTGAAGGAAAGCAGAGTGAGGGAGGAGGAGGAGCTGGAGCTGGGGGGGGAGGCGAGGAGGGAGGCTGAGGCTGGAGGGGAATTACTCATGGATCTGTCGAGGGCTGCGTCTGGCTGAGCTCATCCACATCCTCCGAGAGGGACTCGGGGCTGAGCATAATGGAGGGTGAAAAGGACAGGGAGCCACTAATTAGGGACAAGTTGTAGATGAACTTCAGCCGCCGAGGCAAACGTGGCCCCGCTCCTCTGACACATCACCGGGCGGGTGGGGAAGGGCTCCTGTCACCGGGCCAGCCTCGAGGGGACAGCGCTCAGTGCAGGGTGGCGGGCACAGGGAAGAGCCACAGAGGGGAGGGCGGGATGGGAGAACCTCCTGGGAGAGGGTGGGATGCAGAGGGAGGGCAGGGAGGGCCCCAGGACGTGTTTCTGTCTGTGCCTGCGAGTGAAGGTGCATGACCCCCGATGGCATCAGCCAGAGCTGGTGACGGGACTGGGAGCACGGGATATTCCAGCTGGGAAGGGGCTTGGTGCCGGGACAGGCTCCCAGCAGCAGCACCGGGAAGGAGGAACCCAATGGATCCTCTTCCTTCCACCCTTCCACACTGGAACTCCTATGTCAGAATCATCACAGAGTCATGGAATGGTTTGTGTTGGAAGGGACTTTAAATCCCACCCAGTGCCACCCCCTGCCATGGGCAGGGACACCTTCCACCAGCCCAGGTTGCTCCAACCTGGCCTTGGACACTTCCAGAGATCCAGGGGCAGCCACAGCTTCCCTGGGCAACCTGGGCCAGGGCCTCCCGACCCTCCTAGCCAGGAATTCCTTCCCCAAATCCCACCCAACCCTGCCCTCTGGCAGTGGGAAGCCATTCCCCTTCCACTGTCACTCCATGCTCCTGCCTTGGTGGGTTTCCAGCCGATACCTGCTGAGCCCACCTGATGTCCCCAACTCCTTGCATTCCCTGAAACCCTGTGGCTGTTCCCTTTTCCTGCACCAGCTGAGATACTGCACAGTGGGATCATCTGCACTTGCTTCTTCCTGTGGGATTTGGTCCTTCCTTCTGGATGCTCAGGTGGCTCCTGCTCTGATGTGTCGGGGCTGTGGCTCTGCTCAGGTGGCTTCTTCCGACAGCTGTGAGGGAGGGAACTGATCCCCTGGTGCCAGGCTGGGTATTGGGAAGGAATTGCTGGCTGTGAGGGTGGGCAGGCCCTGGCACAGGTTGCCCAGAAAAGCTGTGGCTGCCCCTGGATCCTTCGAAGTGTCCAAAGTCAGGTTGGACAGGGCTTTGATCAGCCTGGGATGGTGGAAGGTGTCCCTGGGCAGGACTCATGGCAGGCGGGGCTCTGGAGCATCCCCTGGTTTGGGGCTCAGGGCTGGAAGTGCCCTCAGCCCAGAGGGTGGGATCCAGCACATCCCATCATCTCAGATCTCCCCGGCACAGAGATGGGGCAGCTGCACCCAGGAGATGCCAAGCCTGATCCATGGGCTCTTCCTGCCCATCCTCAAGGACATAATCCCTCTGATGGGTTTTTTTTGAGCTCTTGCTCTTCCAGAGCTGCTGCCTGGGGGATGTTTGGAGCAGAGAGTGCCAGGGCTGTGTGTTCCTGTTTGGGTTCGTGCTGGACCTTGGTTAAGGTGTCCCTGATGAGCTGGTTTGAGGGGCTCTGTGGGCACTGTTTGTCCCCACCACCTGCGTGTTTGGGGTCTGCACTCCCCAGGATTTGGCAGCTCCAGGAGGTCCCGCTGGAGGAGGTGGTGGGATGGTGATTCTGCATCAGGCCGTGCCCAGGGACACGGGACTGTGCCCAAAACCACCCCAACCGCCAGCACGGAGTGACATGGGAGTGGAAGGGTGGGGACATCAGCCCCGGGGACCCGGCCGGGCTGTGCCAGCCGCCCTGGTGGCAGGGGGGGAGGGACATTCCCTGTGTGGGCCGAGGCAGAGCGGGTGTGTGTGGGCAGGGGATGCCCGTGACAGCTTCCACGTGGGACAAGGGGGGTAGGGCGTGGGCTGGCAGCACCAGCGGTCCCTGGAGGTGCTGGCCCCGCGGTCCTGGTGTCCCCCATCGCCCAGGAGCTCCTCCCCAGCCTCCAGCCGCCCGGGCCGGCGGCAGCTCCTCTGTTGTGTCCCTGGGAAGGGGCCGGGGCGCCGGGACCTCCTCCACCCCCACGCTCCATTAGCTCTGCACTGTGGCTCTATTGTGCTGGGGACGCGTGAGGGCCGTGCCACCGAGGGACTGTCCTGCCCCAACGAGCTTCCGATGACTCCGAGGGGTCCGAGACCTGCTGGCCCCGGAGCAGGGGGGACGCAGCCTGGCCGTGTCTTACCCCGGGGTCCCGCCAGCCTCGGGCTCGGCCCCGCTCGTGCCGCCCCCGCCCACCGCGCTCTAATCCGAGTGTCTTCCCATCCGTCTCCTTCCCTCACCTCCGTCTCCGTCCGTCTGTCCGTCCCTCACGCCTCTCTCTGTCTCTCTCTCTGCCTCTCCTACCCCTCTGCTCTGCCAGGGAGGGAGGGAAGGGGGGCTGCCCTCCCAGCTCAGGGGGCGGGGGCCGCGGGCTGGGGCCGGGTCCCACCTGGGGGAGGCAGCGGCAGTTTTGGGGCAGGGGTTCCCGCGGGGCCTCAGCCTGGGCTCGTTGCTGGCCGTGGCCAGAGGCAGGTTGGGTTGGGGGTGTCCCCAGCTGGGTCCGTGCCCAGAGATCCAGGGCCACCAGGAGCCACCCTGTCCCCTCACGCAGCACGGCCGGGGACCCTCCCCCTGCCCCGGCGAGGGAAGGGTTTGCAGGTGGGGGGCACAAATTCGGGTCTGATGAGCATCTCCGAGGAGAATCCAGCACGTCCCGTAGCTCAGCATTCCCGGGAGAACCAGCACAGGGCAGAGCCGGGCACGGCGCGGGGGGCTCAGCCCCGGGCTCTGCGCTCCGGGCTCCTGTCCCCAGGGTCCCATCTCTGGGGTCCCATCCGCGGGGTCCCATCCTCAGGCTCCTGTCCCTGGGGTCCCATTCTCGGGTTCCCAACCCTGGGCTGCTGTCCCGAGTCCCGTCCCTGGCCTCCCATCCCCGGGGCCCCATGCCCAGGCTTCCATTCCCAGGTGTTCAGCTCCTGGGCTCCCATCCCCAGGGTGCCATCCCAGACTCCTGGCGCGCTCCCTGCCGGCACTGCAGGAATTCCGCTTTCCCTGGGAGCGGCAGGCGGGGGCGGCTCTGCGCAGCTCCCCCGGCGGAGGATGGATCTCGCTTGGGCGTTTGTTTTAATACGTCTCTCTCTCTTTCTCGTATCTCTCGCTCTCTCCTGGTTCTCGCCTCTCTCTCCCCGGCCTCCCCGCGCTCTCTTTCCGTCCGTGCCTTTCTGTCCCCCCTCCCTCCCCATCCCGTCCCCCGCTCCCCCTCCCCAGGTCAAGGTCTGGTTCCAGAACCGGCGCACGAAGCAGAAGAAGGACCAGAGCAGGGACTCTGAGAAACGCTCCTCCGCCACCTCCGAGTCCTTCGCCACCTGCAACATCCTCCGGCTGCTGGAGCAGGGCCGGCTCCTGTCGGTGCCGGCCCCCCCCAGCCTCCTGTCCCCCGCCTCCAACCCCATCTCCAGCCCCGCGGGCAACGGCTCCGGCCTGGCCACGCCGGGCCCCGCGTCCCCCGGGTTGGGCGGCGGGAGCAGCCCCCCGGCACCGGGAGCCTTCAGCCTGCAGGTCCCGTCCCTCGCCTCCTCGTCCTCCTCGTCCTCCTCGCCGCGGCTGCCGGGGGGGCCGCTGTGCTTCGGGGGGCCGCTCCTGGGCAGCCTGCACGACCTGCCGGGCGCGTACGGACTGGGCGCTTCAGCGTTTGAGCCTTACACGCGGCTGGAGAGGAAAGACAGTTCTATAGCCAGCAAGAAGCCGAGCTCTTAAATCACAATGAGTGTCAAAAGGTGTCCCCCCCTGGCCGTACCCTGCGCTCCCCTCCTGCCCCTCGCCCCCGCGCCCCGCGCCGGGGCTTCGTTCGGCTCGTGGGATGCGGGAGGTGGTTTGTCCCCCGTGGGAATGTGCAGGCGCGGGGGGGCCCGTGCACGCCTGGCCCCCGCCCCAGACGCACCGCTGGAGTCGCGGATGTCCCCCCGCAGCCCCGGCGCTGCCCCGGTCACACACGGGCCGTCCCTGGGGGTCTCGAGTCCCCGGTGCTGCCCCGTCCCTCACTGACGCCGCCGGATCTGCCACCACAGCCCCGCTCCAGGTACCGCCCGCGGTCTGTGCTGGGACAGGGGCAGCCCGGGGGGGGGTCGGGGGGTCGCTGCTGCCCCGTGGTCCTTCGGTGCCTCTTACGGGTGGGACCGCGGAGCTCTGATCCCCCTGGACTGTCCCCCCGCGCTCTGTGGTGCCCCGGGGGGCAGGAGGGCACCCCAAAAGGGAGAGTGCAGGGTGGCACCGGGCTCTGTCCCCGCCCGGCCGGGGTGTCCCTGCACAAGGGTCGTGCCTCAGTTTCCCCACCTGCAAAGGGCTGAGTGTCCTGTCTGAGGTCTCCTCGCAGCATCCCGGTGGCCGTGGGCTCCAGGCGCTGCTCCCATGGGATGCTTGTCCTCCGAGGGCACAGCTGAGGGAGGTCCCGAGGGTCCGGTGGGGTGGGTGATGTCCCCAGGTTCCCCCAGGGGTCCCTGTGATCGGAGCAAGCGGCTGCCCCGACTCGTGGGACATCCCCAGGCTCCTCCTCTGCTTGTGCAGAGCCAAATCACTGTCCTGCACCCCCGTTTGGGGCCGTCCCACCCTGGCAAACACCCCAGGGACGACCTCCCCGAGGGGGCTGGGTGGAGCTGGGGACCGGCACCCCCAAGGAGATCCCCCCGAGGGGGACGTGGCAGAGTGGACAGTTGTGACATTGGGATCTGTCCCTCTGGATCGGGTCGGGCCAGGGGGGCTCTTTGCCACCGTCGGGAGCTTGAAGCACCCCCAGACCCACCGTGGGGTGCTGAGCGCTCAGCGCGGGCACTGCAGGGAGCCCCACCCTGAGCACTGGCCTCGCAGCACCCCCCACACACACCTCGATCCCACACCCGGCAGCCCCAGGGTCCATCCCGGAGAGGTGCTGAGCCCCCCGGGCAGCCCCTTCCCAGCCGGGCACCTGATCCCGGAGGTGACGATGGATTCCCGCGGGGCAGGATCCGGCCTCGGGCACGATGCGGCTCCGCTGGGGCAGAGAAGCAGAGGGGCATTGCATGAGGTGGCCCTTGGGGACAGGGGTGGCGTGGGCCCCCTGACACCTGATGGGGCAGGGCCGTGGTGTGAGCAGGGCCTGGGCAGGATGCTCTGCCGTGGCATCACCTTGGCCAGGTACCTTGCGGTGGCATCACCTTGGCAGGAGGCACCTCCCTCTCCAGGTACCCTGCGGTGTCACCACCTTGGCGGGAAGCTCTGCTGTCACCACCCTCCTGCAGGGACATCGCTGTGACAGGATCATGGGGAAGCCCTGAGCCCCCTCCTCAAGCCCAGGAGCTGCCATGGGGGCCCACACCCCCCACACGCCCCCCAAACCCGGGGGCTCCAGCCCCCTCCCGCCGTCCTTTAACAATTAACAATGGTAATTAACACTGAGCGTCCCCCCGGGCTGCTGCTCCGTCGGGACCGGTCCCTCGCGGGGACACAGCTCCCAGCCCGCGCGTTCCCAGGGTTTTGCAGGGAAATATTTAAAATAAATGATTTTATGAGAAGGTTTCGGTGATTTTTATTTTTTCCTCAGAATGGAGTCTTTCTATGGAATAGCATTTATTGTTCCCTTCCTTTGGAGCTCTAAAGGGGAGCTCGGGGAGGGGGGGGGGGGTCGGCACCCCCGGCGCAGGTGGGAAACTGAGGCAGGAGCAGGGACAGGGTTTGGTTGGGGGTCCCGAGGCCCCCCGAGCCCCCCGGCTCAGCCCGCGGCTCGCTGCCAACACCTCCGTACTTCTCCCTGGAATCCCGGGGTGCTCCGACACCCCAACGCCGTGTGTGAGTTTTGGGGACTTACCAGGACTCTTCGCCCTCCCCCTTGTCACTTAATTTATATTTATCCCGCCGCTCCCACCCCTCCCGGTCCCGGCGTGCGGGGGGAGCGGGCGGCGGGGCAACCGTGCCCCCCGGCCATGGAATCCTGCCCTCAAACCCCCTCCGGGACTCGCTTTGCTTTGGTTTGCCCTGTTCCCAGCCGAACCGCAGGGTTTTTCCAAGCTTTCCAAGCCCGATTCCTCGCGCTCTGGGCTCGCCGGGAGGAACCCGGGGTTTGCTGGAGAAGCGAACCCCCCTCAGCCTTCTTGGCTGGAGGAGGTTTTGGGGGCCTTTTCAGAGAAAGCAAAGCCCAGTCTGGTTTTGGGAGGGTCCCTGATGTGTTTTCCCGGCTCCGAGTGTCCTTGTGGCTCTCCTGCATCCTCCTCCCGGTGCTCCACATTCCGAGGGATCCGCGGGAAGCGCAGCGGGGAGGCCGCGGGCTGCTCTTTCCGCCGATTGAAACCCAAATGCTGCTTTCACAAAGGTCCCAAACCGGATCCAAAGCCGCTGCTTCTCCAAAGCTCCTTCTCCAAAGCGAAGCTGTCCCGGGGGTCATGGGGGGCCGTGGGGACACCCGTTCCCCCCAGTCCATCCCACTCCAGAGGCTCCTCCAATCTGGGGGGATTGGAGGGAAAAGAGGGTTAAAACCCCAGCAAGTACTGGATGTAAAACTTTAAGGAATAATGTGGTTTCTTATGGTTTCTAATGGTTAATAAAAGTTATGTCCTGCCTCCTGCCTCCTCCTCCTCCATCGCCTTTGGGATCCAGCCCCGTGGGTGCCCCCAGCCTCGTGGGTGTCCCCAGCCCCGTGGGTGTCCCCAGCCCCGTGGGTGCCATCCCAAGGTGGCATTTCGAAGCCCACCGTGTCCTGCTCTCCTCAGAGCCCCCCGAGATTGAATCTCCCCCGTACGGAGACATCTCCACTAACGCCCCCAGAATGAATTCCCCCCACGGGGATACCTGCACCACCCCTCCCCAGCGGTGCCCCCAAAAGCCCCAGCCCCTCACCCTTAGCCCACCCGGCCCTGCGTCCAGCCCTCCCCTGCCTCTGGGGGGGGGTGCACCCACTGTGGTCCCGCACCCCCCCCCAAATTACCTCCTCCCCTGCCCCTGGCACTGCCTCGAGCTCCACCTGTCCCCAGCCCTGTCCCCTCTCCTGTCCCAGCCTTGTCCCCACCCGACCCCTACTCCCATCTCCGTTCCCCTCCCCATCCTTATCACCCATATCCCTATCCCCATAGCGTTCCCTATCCTTTATCCCTATCCTTTATCCCTATCCCTGTCCTTTGTCACTATCCTTATTCCTTACCCCTACCCCTTGTACCTATCCATTTTCCCTTATCCTTTATCTCTATCCCAACCCCTATCCCCATCCCTGTCCCTACCCTCATCACTGGCCATATACCTATTCCCATACCATTCCCTAGCCCTTATCCCTACCCTTATTCCTTATCCCTACCCTATCCCTATCCCTATCCCTATCCCTATCCCTATCCCTATCCCTATCCCTATCCCTATCTCTTTTCTTATCTCCCACCCCTTTTCCCTGTCCTGTCCCCCTACTCCTTAACCCTGTCTCTATCCCTTATCCCTATCCCATTCCCGATCCCTAGTCCCCCAGGTGAGGGGCTGGGGCCTCTCCGGCAGCTCCCTCCCGCTGTTTACGGTCAGCTCGGTGCTGTCGGTGCCACCGGTGCTCCTTGTGTCGCCGGTGCCACCTGTGTCGCCGGTGTCACCTGTGTCGCCGGTGTCACCTGTGTCGCCGGTGTCACCTGTGCCGCCGGTGTCTCAGGTGCCGCCGGGGCCGCGGGCGGGGCCGCCCGTGCGGGCGGGACCGGCGGGGGCCGGGCCGGGGGTTACAAAGCCCGGGGCGCTGGCGCGTCCTGCCCGGCCCTGCCGTGACCGTGACCGTGACCGTGACCGTGCCATGGCTGCCACCAAGGCAGGGGTAGCGGGCGCAGCGCTGGCGGCAGCCCGGGAGCACGGGCTGGCCGTGACCCGGGACTACAGCAGCAACCCCCGGCTGAGTGAGTGGGGGGCGCGGGGGACAGGGCGGAGAGCGCCGGGGGCGGGCACGGCACCCCCGTGCCCCCGAGCAGGGTGGGGCCGTGGGTACATCGGCGTGGCAGGGACGAGTGGGGGACACCGGGCAGAGGTGGTGGGTGGCACTGGGTCAGGAAGGGATGGCCATGGCACCGGGACAGCCAGGGGGACAGGGGTGGCGCTGGAACAGGCAGGCACGGGTGGGTGACAGCGGGGCAGGAAGTGACGGGTGGGTGACACCGGGGCAGGCAGAACTGAATGGGTGGCACAGGGGCTGTGTGTGTCTCTCGGGGGGCACAGGGGCTGTGGGGGTGTCCCCTCTCCTGGGGTCCGCACCCGCAGGGGCTGGGGACGGTGTGCCGGCCCCCCGAGGGCTGTGGGGGGGGCTGTGGTGACCCCGCAGGGGTGCCGGGGTGCCCTGGGTGTCCCTCTCCCCCTCCCCGACAAGGTGTAAGACCCGCCAAGGTGACTCTGGGGTGAGCCACACGTGTGGGGGGTGGGGACGTGTCCATCGAGGGGACGTCGGTGTGACACCACCGGGACTTTGTGTGACACCCGTGGGTGCTCCGTCTGTGCCCCTGTGCCCCCCCCGGCTCCTGGGGGGCTGGGGGCTCAGCGCTGGCACCCTCAGCCCCTCACCCTGGGCTGCAACCCCGTCCCACCCCGACCTCGGGGAGCCTGGCGTGGTGCCAGCCCCACATCGAGGGGGTGGGTGAGCCCCCCCCACACCCCGTCCCCGACCACCCACGGCGCCAAGGACGTTTGCTGTGACCTTTGTGCCTTCGCTACCGGCTCGGGATGGCTGGAGGGAACCTGGAAGTCACCTCCCTGGATGTCACCTCGCTGGTCCCGAGCCGGGTGGCTCCGGGCTGGCACGGTCGCGGCCGCTCCCTCCCAGCCCGGTCGGCCCTGCCCGGCCCCGCCGTGTTTGGTGTCAACACGGAGCCGGGAGCGGCCGCCCGTGGGTGACTCGTGTCCCGGTCACCTGGCTGAGAGCCAGCCCTTGGCCCGGGTCACCCGGCTGTCCCTTTGCAAGGCAAAAAATGCTCATTTCCAAGTTTGTTACCTCCTGCCGCGTTTCCCCCTCGGGAGAGGGACGGGCAGTGCCAGCTTTGCCAGGCTGGCTCTGCACAGCCAAACCTGGCCCCAAATCCAGGCTGGCACTCAGGCCTGCCCGGGGGGGAGGCGTGTGAGGAGTTCAGGGTGGGCTCTCTGCAGTTGGAGGGCCGGGAGAGGGGGATCCTGGCACCCCTAAATGTGCTGCGAGGTGACGGCAGGGGTGGCACCGGGAGGAGGGACCCCAGCAAGGGGGGAGCTGGGAGGGAACCTGATGGTGACAGAGTTGTAAGGACACCCCCGAATAGGGGGGGAAGGAGCAGGGTGCGGCTGAGGGCACCTGAGCTCCTCGGGGTGCCACCTGGGCACAGTGGGGCGGGTTTGGGTGGGATGGGGGGGTGCTGTGGGTCCGAGCCGAGGTGGGCACCGCCCCTCTGCAGGAGGGTCTCAGTGCCGCAGTGCCAGCTTCACATCCCGTGTGCCCCTCAGCCCCACGAGGTGCCCCCCCCCCCCAGTGCAGGGTTCCAGAGTGGGGTCCCAGAGTGGCACTGGGCCCGAGGTGGGGTGGATCCAGCAGTGCCGCGGGCAGCCAGGGTTGGCAGGGAGGGCAGGCAGGAGTAGGCAGTGCCCGCAGTGCCCATCCGGGGCCAGCTCTCCCGAGAGGCAGCAGAGTAATCAGCAGGCGCTCCCCAGCGCCGCGAATCCATTAGCACGAAGAGCCACTTCTCACCTCCCGGCCTTTGGCTCGACCCAGCGCCGGGAAAAACAGCGCCGGGAGCGATCCCGCCGCCGCACGTGGGCTCGGGGTCCTGCCCGCACGTGCGGGTACCTGTGCGGGGGGTGTCCCCCGCCCGTCCCACGGCCTGTCCCACCGGCTGCTCTAAAGACAGCAAGGACAGCCTGGGAGCTGGGCTGCAAAGGGGGTGGATGAGGGAATGAATAAATGGAGGGATGGACAGATGGAGGGACAGTTTTGGACCTGAGGTTGCTCCCCCAGAGCCTTCTGGGGGGGTCCTGGGAGCTGTGGCAGAGCCCGGGGAGATGGGAGTGCCCCCTGCCTATTTCCAGATCCCAAAATTGGATTTTTAAGTATATAAACCCAGCAGCCGTCGGGCCCCTGGCAGCAGGAGGCAGCTGGTGGTGCAGAGCTGGGCTCGCTGCTCCCCCCACCCTCTTCCCAGCTCTGCCAGCCCCCTGCCCCCTTCCTGGTGCTGCAGAAGGGAGGGGCGGGGGTGACCTTGGAGCCCCCCACCCTCTGGAGCTGCCGGACCCCTGGCAAGCAGAGCAGGGCTGGTGACCATGGGGGGTGGCAATGCCATGGGACTGTGGGGAAGGGGCTGGCGGGGTCCTGGGGGCTGCAGCTGATGGATCCATCCATCCATCCATCCATCCATCCATCCATCCATCCATCCATCCATCCATCCATCCATCCATCCATCCATCCATCCATCCTTCCATCCATCCTCCCGCCCCTGTGGCAGCATCCCCAGCCCCCCCTGGTCCATCCCACTGTCACGGGACCCCGTTCCCCACAGCGTGGGGAGATCCCCCGGCTCTCCACCACTTCTCTTTCCCTCGGACCCCCCTCCTCCCGGCTTCTTCAGCCCAGCTGGCCCAGCGCGGGGTCCGCAGCCCCCTCCCCGCCTCCCACGCCCCCAGCCCTGTTTTGTCTGCCGGCAAACGCGGCAGCAAGCCCAGCAATTTATTTCTCCTTTTTTTTTCCCTTCCTTGGGCTGCTTGTTTGGTTCACGCTTGGCTGGGGCTGCCTTTCTTTGCCTCCCCTCACATGACGTGCAGGTGTGTATGGGAACCCTCGGCCGCCGGGCCCTAATTAGTGGCATAGAGTGTGACCCCCCGCCGGGCTTTTCACGGGCTCTGCCGGGCTGGGACAGGCCGGTGGGTTTGACAGCGCGGCACAAAGTGACACATGGCACAATGGGCAGGTTGTGGAGGGGGGAAACGGTCACTTAGGGACTGTCGGAAAAGTCCCAGGATGGCCCCGGGGCAGGATGGTGGCTCGGGAAGAGGGGGTGGGGTCGGGCTGAGCGGGATTTTGAGCGCGGAGTTGCCATCGGGGGTGAATTCGTGTCCCATTCTGGAAATTCGGCCGGGTCACTTCGGACATCAGCGTTTTGGTTAAAAATTCAGTATTTGCGGAATTCTAAAATCCCAGGCTGGTTTGGGTTGGGAAGGACCTTAAAGGCCACCGGTGTCACCCCCTACCGTGGCAGGGACCCCTCCCACTGACCAGATGGATCCAAGCCCCGTCCAACATCCTTGTGATGAAATCACGGGATAATCTATGGGCCTGCTGAGACGCCTTTTCATCCCCATCCTTGCCCTGGGACAGAGGGTTTGGGGCGTTTGGGGGCTGTTTATCTGTCCCATTTCCTCTCTTTGCTCCAGCTGGGTCCCACTCTGTAATTTGGGATAGGGATGAGCATCCCTCGCTGCACTCCCGCTCCAGAGGCCAAGCTGACCCTCTCCTGGGGACAGGACAGGGGGAAATGGCTTCCCACTGCCAGAGGGCAGGGTTGGGTGGGATATTGGGAAGGAATCCTTCCCTGTGAGGGTGGGCAGGCCCTGGCACAGGCTGCCCAGAGAAGCTGTGGCTGCCCCTGGATCCCTGGAAGTGTCCAAGGCCAGGCTGGAGCAACCTGGGCTGGTGGGAGGTGTCCCCGGGGTTGGAACTGGATGGTCATCAAGGTGCCTTTCCACCCGAACCATTCCAGGATTCCGCGCTCTCCAGCGGTCCGTGCCCACCCCCGGCGCACTTTGGAGCCGAGCCCTAAGGCGGGCGCGGGCCGGGGGTGCCGGGGCGGAGGGGCCGGGAGGGCCGGGGGGCTGGCGAGGGCAGGGCGGGCGAGCGGCAGCAATTAGCGGCGGGCGGGGCCGGGCGGGCCGGGCCCCTTTGTGAGCGGGGCCGAGGCCCCCCCGGCCGCCGCGCTGGGCAGCAGTGCGTGAGCGCCAGCGCTAACGGAGATCGCATCTGACAGGAGCTGTGAATTTGGGGCTGGGGGTGTGGAAAGGCCAGGTTGAAAGACTTTTCTTTTTCCCTCGGCCCCTCGTCCCCGCCCCCGCTCCCCGGCCGTGCCCCCGGCCGGCCGCCGCAGCCCACCCACCCCGCCGGGCCGGCCCCGCTGCCGGTCCAATTATGGGAATTGGAGCTTTCCGGGGCTCCCCCGCCGCTGCAGCGGCCCTCCCCCTCCTCCGGCTCCACCTCCTCTTCCTCTTCTTCTCCTTCACTTTTTCCATGCTGGATGGACGGAGGGACGGATGGACGGATGGACGGATGGATGGATGGATGGATGGATGGATGGATGGATGGATGGATGGATGGATGATCCATCTCTGTGCCACTAGAGAGCTTGGCTGATGATCCAGTGTCACGCCCAGAGCACCAGGAGGTGCTGCCAGAGGCTCCAATGCCCTCTGTGGGAGAAGGAGCCCCTCTGCTCTGGAGCCAGGCTGGGAGAGCTGGGGGGGTTCCCCTGGAGAAGAGAAGGCTCCAGGGAGACCTGAGAGCCCCTGGCAGGGCCTAAAGGGGCTCCAGGAGAGCTGGAGAGGGACTGGGGACAAGACCTGGAGGGACAGCACACAGGGAATGGCTTCCCACTGCCAGAGGGCAGGGTTGGGTGGGATACTGGGAAGGAAATCTTGGCTGTGAGGGTGCTGAGGCCCTGGCACAGGGTGCCCAGAGAAGCTGTGGCTGCCCCTGGATCTCTGGGAGTGTCCAAGGCCGGGTTGGAGCAACCTGAGCTAGTGGAAGGTGTGGCAGAGGGTGGCACTGGATGGGTGTTCAGGTCCCTTCCCTCCCAAACCAGTCTGGAGTTGTGTGATCCTCATGCAGAAGTGTCAGGGGTCACTGGCACTGCCAGTTCTGTGCCCTGGCACGGGCTGGGAGAGGGGAGGGGGACACTGGGGGTGCAGCTGTGCCACAGGGGTGACCCCACACTGCTCTGGGGGGTGTCCAGGGGTTGGTGCTCCCCAAACTGGGCTGTGGCCAGCGAGGAGCAAAGGGCACCCATCCCCTAGAAATGGAGCCCCTGGGGCTGGTGCAGCTGGGGACAATGACAGCACCACCTTAAGGACATCCAGGATGCTGAGGGGCAGGACCCCCCATGCCACAGGCGGCGGGAGGAAGGGGGGAGCCCTCCAGCTGGCCCGGCCTCTCCGATCCCATCAGGATCATGAGGGACTCCCAGCCCGGGGCGAGGAGAGGGGGCAGAGGGATGAAAGGGGTCAGCGAGCCCCGCCCTGCCAGGGCAGGATTTCGGCACTGACACGTCCTGGGATGATCAAGGCAGCTTAGAGACGGTTCAGTGCCCCCACACCTGCACCCGCCGGGGCTGAGCCCAGCCCCGCTGTCCCAGCCCTGCCCCTCTCCCCGGGCTCCTGCACGGCCTCGACCCCCTTTGTCACCCTTGTCCTTCGTGTCCCAAGTGCCTCCTGCCCCACGGGTGTCCCTGGAGGGCCACACCCCCAGCACCCTCCTGAGTGCCACCCTGCGTGTGTCCTTGGTGCCCCGAGGGCTCCTCCTGCCCCACAGGGTCCCGGGGCAGTGCCCTCTGCATCCCACCAGGATGCTTTTAAACTAAAGGAGGGGCATTTAGGTGGGATATTGGGAAGAAACTCTTCCCTGTGAGGGTGGGGAGGGCCTGGCTGCCCCAACCTGGAAGTGTCCAAGGCCAGGTTGGATGGGACTTGGAGCAACAGGGGCTACTGAAAGGTGTCCCTGCCCATGGCAGGGGTGGCACTGGGTGGCATTTAAAGGTCCCTCCCAACCCAAACCATTGTATTCCTGGGCTCTCTGCAGGGCTGTGCCCATCACACAGGGTCAGGGCTGGGCCCGTGGGTTTGGGGGGGTGAGGGGTCTGTGCCCAGGCAGGGACAGAGGATGTGGGGTGGCTGGGAAAGGCCTGGTGAGATGGAGACTCCCTGCTGGGACCTGCAGGAGCCACTGGAGTTCCAGCAGGTCACCAGGCTGTGGTGGCACCTTGCTGGGATGGGGTGTCCCAGGGCAGGGAACCTCTCCTGGTGCTGCTGGAGGGGTGAGCCAGGGAAGCTGGGCGACCAGAGGAGGCTTTACTGCTGGTTGTGGTGGCATTCCCAGTTGTGACATCCCTGTCAGGTGTGTGGGAACACCTCCAGGAGGTGACACAGCCAGCTGCCACCAGGCACCGTGGCAGGGAGCCACCACGGAGTGACATTCCTGCAGGATGTGTGCTCCAGGGCTCCAGTTCAGCTGCCACTGCTCACTTGGCTGGCCCTGGGATAAAGAATGGGACAAGCAGGAGCGGGTGGCACTGGAGTGGGATGGATCCCAGGGTTTGGTGCTGCCAGTGCTGGGATCAGGGTGGAAGGCCCCGGGAGCCTCCCCAGCACAGGCTGACGGTGTGTCCTTCCCTTCCCCCCAGCCTACAGGACGGTGTGTGGTGTCAACGGGCCACTGGTGGTGCTGGACAATGTGAAGGTAGGACCCTGTCGGGGGGGGTGACAAGGGGACACCTTGGCAGTGTCACCTGGGGCTGGCCAGGGACCACCGTGCTGTCCCCCCTGGGCTGAGCTGCCACTCAGCAGGGAGAGGGCAACGGGTGGAGCTCGTCCCTCATCAGCTCTCTCGTGTCCCCCGGGCTGTCCCGTCCCCTCTCCCCTGTCCCGCATCCCTTCTCCCCCATCCCTCGTCCCCTGGGCTGTTTTCCGGGATGGTCCCCTGTCGCTTGTCCCCTGGACTGGTCTCCTGTCCTGTCTCTCCTGTCCCTTGTCCCCTGTTCCCCTGAGTTGTTCCCTGTCTCCTCTCCCCTGTCCCTTGGGCTGTCCCCCGGGCTGTCCCCTCCTCTCCGGGGTCCGAGCTCCCTCCTCTGGACGCGGTCGGCAGCAGAGCCCGTGTCCCCGTGTCCCCGTGTCCCCGTGCGGGTGGTGTGTACGCCGGGGGGAACGAGTGTGCTCTCGGCTCGGTGACACTGCTCTCCTGTCCCCGTGTCCTGTCCCCGTGTCCCGCCCGAGCTCAGCCCCTGCTCCCTGTTCTCCTGTGCCCCTGCCCCAAATCCAGCCCTTCTCCCCTGCTGTCCCCGGGTTCCGTCCCCTGTCCCCTGTCCCCTGCCCAATCTGTGGCTCCTGTCCCCTGTCCCCTGCCCAATCTGTGGCTCCCTCCGGGACCCTGCCCTGACACCACACCCACCACGACCCCCCGCTCAGCCCGTGTCCCAGCACGGGGTGGCACTTTGGTGTCACCCTGCCTGTCCCTGCTCCCGGCGCAGGGTCTGGGCTCTCTTGGGTGGGCTCCGGGCACCTGGGGGACCTTCCGAGGGGCTTTGTTGCCCGCTGGCTCGTTTCCATGGCCCCTTTCACGCCGAGCCCGGCAGGACGGGAATTAATCAGCTCAATTAAAGAGCCAGCCCGTGGCGGGGGTTTCCTCGGCTTTGTCGTCCTTTATCCAAAGGTCTTTCCAGAAGAATTAAAGTCCAAAGTTCACAGGGCTGGAGGCAGCCCCGGTGGCGGCTGGGAGTGAGGAGGAGGAGGAGGAGGAAGAGGAGAGCCCGGAGTGTGCTGGGCGGGCGGGGCTGGACAGGGGAGGGACCCTTCCGACGCTGTCCCCAGAGCAGGACGTGTCCCCTCAGCCAAGGGGCGGCAGAAAAGTCTCCTCCATCCTCCCCGGGGGGATTGGGGAGGGTGGGTGGTGTCCCCTGGGGTGCTGAGTCCCACTCGTCCCTGTGGCCAGTGCGAGGTGGTGGCACCGTGGTGGCCCTGTCCGTGCCTGGCAGGGACTGTGTGAACTGGCTGGCACCGCGGACTTTCCCAGTGTTGGGGAAAATTGCCCAGCATTGTGGAAACCGAGGCAGGAGCGGCGCAGAGCCCGGAGTGGCTCCAGGATAGGGCAGGGACAGACAGGACCTTCCCCCGACCCCCCACTGCTGTCCCGGGTGCCCTCCTCAGTGCGTGGTGGCTTCAGGGAGCACAAACCCCCTCCCCAGGAGGGGAAATGGGGCAGCCCCGGCGGGGCTGGGGGGGCACAGAGGACCCCCCCGCCCCAGCTCAGCCTGCCCCTGTGCCCACAGTTCGCCCAGTACGCCGAGATCGTGAACTTCACGCTGCCCAACGGCACCACCCGCAGCGGGCAGGTGCTGGAGGTGATGGGCTCCAAAGCCATCGTCCAGGTGAGCCCGGCGGGGACACGGGGGACTGCACGGCTCGGGAATGTGTCCCAGGGCTCTGTCCCCTGGGGCTCTGTCCCCCTCCAGCGGTGGCTGCCGCATTCTTGTCCCAGAGCTCTCAGGCTGCAGGACCGGTGCCCTGGGACTTGTGGTGTCCTGGGATGGGCAGGGTCCCGGTACAAGCGTCCGGGGACAGGTGATGTCCTGGGATAGGCAGGGGGCTCCTGGGGTATACAGTGTCCCGGATTGTCATTGTCGTGTGACACGTGTTGTCCCCACGTCCCCCTCGCTAACCTCCCCCTCCTTTCCAACAAGGAAACCAGGGTCCCCTCCACCAACCCCACCCTCCCGGCCCGCAGCGGGGCCACGACTGGGACGGGTAGTGGGTTCCAGGGTGCCCCCAGACCGGGGCAGTGGGACTGTTTGGGGTCATCTTGCCTAATTACTCCGGAGCCCCCCAAACCAGGGCTCGGGGGGGCTGCGCAGCTGCCCAGAATCACTCCTCGAATGGCACCTGCGTCTCTGTGATGCCCTTTTAATCCTATTAGGGAGTCAGGCTCGGGGAGGAAAGGGGGGGAAATAGGGATAAAAGCGGAAGAAATGAGGTTTTTGCAGACCCGGCGTTGTTGGGGGTGACCTGCAGCACCTGCAGCCACCCGGGGGGCTGCGGCCATCACCCCCCTCAGGCCTGTCACTGTCCCCCTCCCGGGGGCCACCCGGCTCCAATTAAAGCAGCGATTCGGAGGTTAATTAATACAAATGATGTCAAATATTACACTGATCAAACAAAAAGCCTTTGCCTTCCCTGCCCTGCCCTGGGTATTGCATAAGGGAGCAGTGGGATCCCCCCCTCGGGGTTCCCCCTCCCCACAGCGCCTCAGAAGGGGGTTTTCTTAACCCCGAGGGCTCCCCCCCTCCTTTATCTCTCCTCCCTGGGGGGTTTTCGGGTAAGCGCGGATCACATCCCCCCCAAGCCCCCTCCCCTCCGTACCCATTAATCCCCACTAATTGCCCCCCACCCGCCTCCTGCCTCGGGGTCTCTGCAGGTGTTTGAGGGAACATCTGGGATCGACGCCAAGCAAACCTCCTGCGAGTTCACGGGGGACATCCTGCGCACCCCCGTGTCCGAGGACATGCTGGGTAAGCCCTGCCCGTGGCTGAGCCCGGACACAGCTCGGGGCATGGGTGGGAGGTAACCCAGGATGGGCAGTTTGGGGGGGGGGTGTTCAGTTCTGGGGCTGAGCACGTGACTCCCCATCCCTGGAAGTGACCTCCCATCCCTTGGAAGTGTCCAAGGTGTCCCTGCCTACGGCAAGGGTGGGACTGGATGGGTTTAAGGTCCCTTCCCACCCAAACGAGTCTGGGATTCATTATGGGTGGGTGTGAGCCCCCCTCTGTCCCCACATACCCCCTGCACAGCCGGATGCCGGCAGCCCCCCCTGCCCTCCCCAGCCTCCCCCGGGGGTGTTCAAGCCCACCCAGCCAAGCCCAAGCCACGTTAGAGGCTCCTGAGTGTCCCCCAGCGCCAGAGGGGTCACGGCCGGTGACGGGGGTCGCTCGGGGTCGCGGATGGGAGGCATCCTGGGCTCCGGTGCCGCTCCGTGGTCGGGGGCCGCGTGTCTGCCGCGATCTCCATCCCGCCGTGGATGGCCCCGGTGCCCGGGGCTCGGCAGCGCCCGCGCCCCGCCGCAAAGGGCAGCGCAAAGGGCACGTGTCGAGCGCGGTTCGGCTGCGAGCGCTGACGGCCGGGCACGGGGAGGGACATCCCCCTCCTCCCCCAGCCAGAGACCTCCCTGCTCCCGCAACCAGGGCCCCCCCACAGCCAGGGCCCCTCTCCTTCCCCAGCCAGGGTCGCCCCTTCTCCTCCAGCCAGGGACCCCCTCCTCACCCAGCAAGGGACCCCCAACTTCCCACAGCCTGTCCCCGTGCAGGGTCGAGCAGCGCGTCCCCCCAGCGCTCCCGCAGCGCCGCCCCCCTAGCCCGGGCCAGGGTCCCCCTCCCTGGCTGATTCCCCCTCTCCCCACGCGGGCTCGGGGCCGGCGGACGCGGCTCTGCCGTGGCCACTGACCTTTCATGCTCCGCGCTCCGCGCCCCGGCCCTGCCATCACCCTGATCCGCTCTGACACCCGTGACGTGTCCCCGGCCCTGGTGGGGACCGGCAGAATGTCCCGTGGGGCGGCAGCGGGCTGGGGGGGCGGCGTGTGGGCGCTGCGGCTTCGTGGCGATCGATGCCGCTGCTCCGAGACGGTCGATGAGGCTGAGAGGGAGCGGGGGAGCCGCGTAATTCCCCCCCGGGCAGGCTGGGGGGGGTCTCGGTGTCACCCCCCGCCCAGGAGCCGGGGACCCCAAGGGGGAGGTGATGGGGGTGGCTGGGGACACGGGGAGGGGGTCCCGGGGCTCTTGTCCCCATGGGCTGGCATCTTCCTGCCACAAGAGCTGCGGTGGCACCCAGCCCTCGGGTGGCACTGCCCACCCCACGCAGTGACATGGGCACACCTCGTTCCCTGGGAGGGGGTCTGGGGGTGCCCACAGCTCCCCTGGGTGCAAATTCCTTTGCTCCCCACCCACAGCCCCCCAGCACCGGTGCCTGTGTCCCCTCTGGGAGCGCTGGAGACCGGCATCAGGATGGAACCCTGCCCCACGCCCACGGGCCGGCAGGTGCCCCCCGGCAGCCTCCCCCCGGCCCGGCTGGTGGCCCCGGGCAGGGACCAGCCCGTCTGTCCTTGCAGGTCGGGTGTTCAACGGCTCCGCCAAACCCATCGACGGCGGCCCCCCGGTGATGGCCGAGGACTTCCTGGACATCAACGGTGACGGCTCCGGCCCCGCGGGGCTCCGCTGCCCTGGGCATGTGGGAGGCACTCGGGGACAGCCTGGCACGGCGTGGGGGTACCTCCGTGCTCTGGTGGCCAGAGCAGCCCCGTGGTGTCACCCCATCCCTCCCTCCATCCCTCCCTCCACCCCTTCCCACGGGGGTGCCCCGGGTGGGGGTCCGGGTGCCAGGGTGGGGCCTGTCCTACCCCAGGACTGGGGGTGGGCACCTGCGCTGCCCAGGAGCTGCTCCCTCCTCATCTCCAGAATTTGTTTCTTAATTTTGGGCACCAAGCCGGGCAAATGAGGCTGCCCCGCCTCTGGAAGTGCCCAAGGCCGCGCCGGACGGGAGCGGGGCTGGTGGAAGGTGTCCCCGGGTGGCACTGGATGGGCTTTAATGTCCGTCCCAACCCGCCCCATTCCATGACTCCTCCTTTCCGGGGTGCCTCCCGTCCCTGTCCTGCCCCAGGCCAGCCCATCAACCCCCACGGGCGCATCTACCCCGAGGAGATGATCCAGACGGGAATCTCGCCCATCGACGTCATGAACAGCATCGCCCGTGGCCAGAAGATCCCTATCTTCTCTGCCGCGGGGCTCCCCCACAACGAGGTGCGTCCCCAGGGGGGCAGGAGCGGCAGCGGGAGGGGTTTGGGAGGGCTGGAGCCTCCCTGCTGTGGAAGGGCAGCCCCTCAGCTCGTGCCTCGGTGTCCCCGCTGGCACAGCCAGGGGTAAAGCAAACCCTGCGTGCCAAAGCTGGGCTGGGGGGAAGGGGATCTGGGCTGATGGGGGGACCCGGACCCGGATCCGGGGCTAGGGGGCTGCAGAGCACCCCAGATCCCCACGGGTGCGGCCGCGCCGAGGGGGACAGAGCAGGACGGTCTGGAAATGCCGGAGGGTGATGGGATGGGACGGAAACAGAGCGGGGGTGACAGCAGGGAGTGACCACGGGCACGGCACGATGGTGTCACAGCGAGGGGGACACTCCGCTGCCCCCCTGGGCTGAGTGGGCAGCTGGGGGTGCGGGGGTCCCTCCTGGGGTGCCCTCTCCTGTCTCCGTGCCCTGTCCCCGCCGCCGTGGGGCCGTGTCCCGGTCCCGGGGGGCTGTGTCCCCTCGGGGGGCTCCGTGCTGCCCCCTCCCCTGTCCCCCCCAGATCGCAGCGCAGATCTGCCGCCAGGCGGGGCTGGTGAAGAAGTCCAAGGATGTGGTGGATTACCACGAGGACAACTTCGCCATCGTCTTCGCGGCCATGGGGGTGAGTCGGGCCGGGCCAGGCCAGCCCAGGCACAGCCACAGCCCTGCCCCGCCCCGGCCCAGCGTCCCCAGTGTCGCTGACTGCTCCCCCACCCCGGGCAGGTGAACATGGAGACCGCCCGGTTCTTCAAGTCGGACTTTGAGGAGAACGGCTCCATGGAGAACGTGTGCCTGTTCCTCAACCTGGCCAACGACCCCACGTGAGACACAGCCCTGGCTGCAGCACCCGCTCCTCCTCCTCCTCCTCTTTCTGCTCTTCCATTTCCCTCCTCCTTTCTCCTCCTTTTTCCTTCTACTTCTCCCTTTTCCCTCCTCCTCCTCCTTCTCCTGCCTCCTTTCTTATTTTTTCTTTTTTTTCTTCTTTTTCTTCTTTTTCTTATTCTTTCTTATTCTTCCTTTTAGTCTTCCTTTTATTCTTCCTTCTGTTCTTCCTTTTATTCTTCCTTATTCTTCCTTATTCTTTCTCCTTTTTCCTTCTACTTCTCCCTCCTCTTCCTTCTTCTCCTTCCTCCATCTCCTCCTTTTCCTTCTCTCTCCTCCTTCTTTCCCCTTCTTTTCTTCTCCATTTTCCTCCATTTTCTTGTTCCTTTTTTCTTCTCCTTGGCCTTTCTCCCTCTCTTTCTCCTCACTCTCCCTCTCCTTTTCCTTTTCCTTCTTCCTCTCATTTCTCCTGTCTTTCTCCTCTCTGCTTTCTCCCTCTCCTCTCCTCTCCCTCCTCCTCTCCCCCCACGAGGACCTTCCCAAGCTCAGGTGGATCAGGGTGGGGGTTGTTCTGGGACCCCAAAACTGCGGGTCCCTCCTCTCCTCAGGGGCCAGCCCTGCCCTGAGCAACAGCAGGGGCTGCAGAAGGTGGGGGGGGGGGCCTCCTGCCCTCCTGGCCCCCCAAACCTGCTCTGCGGGGGCTGACTGTGCCCCGGGGGTGCCCCCCGTGCCTGGCAGGATCGAGAGGATCATCACCCCCCGCCTGGCGCTCACCACGGCCGAGTTCCTGGCCTATCAGTGCGAGAAGCACGTGCTGGTGATCCTGACCGACATGAGCTCCTACGCCGAGGCCCTGCGGGAGGTCAGAGGGGCCCCGGGGCCTGGCCCCGTCCCCCGAGTCCTCCCCGGGGGGCAGGGGATGGGGACTGGCCTGCTTGGGCAGCCTGGGGTGCCCAGGGGACTCGGAGTGCCCAAGTACTTGGGGTGCTGGGGCTACCTGGAGTCCCCGGGGTGTTTAGGGTGCCTGCAGTACTGGGGGTGCTCGGGGTGCTCAGGGTGCCCAGGACACCTGGGGTTCCCAGGGAGTTTGGGGTGTTTGGGGTGCCTGGGATGTCTGGGAAACTTGGGGTGACTGGAGTGCTCTGAGTGTTGTACACACTGGGAGTTCCCAGGTTTTTGGGATGTTCAGGGTGCCAGGGGTGCTCAGGGTGCCAGGGGTGCTCAGGGTATCCAGGGTGCTGGGAGTGCCTGGGTTGCTCAGGACACCTGGGGTTCTTGGGGTGTTTGGGATGCTCAGGGTGCCCAGGACACGTGGGATGCCCAGGATATCTGGGGTTCTTGGGGTTCTTGGGGTGTCCAGGACATCTGGGGTTCCCAGGGTTCTTGGGGTGCTCAGGGTGCCCAGGCTATCTGGGGTTCCCAGGGTTCTTGGGGTGCTCAGGGTGCCCAGGTTGCTGGGGGTGCCTGGGCTGCTCAGGGCACTTGTGGCACCGGTGCCCCCCTGTGTTCTCGGGGTTTTTGGGGTGCTGGAGCCCCCCCAGCCCCACCGCAGCCCCCCCCCAGGTGTCGGCAGCCCGGGAGGAGGTTCCCGGCCGGCGCGGCTTCCCTGGCTACATGTACACCGACCTGGCCACCATCTACGAGCGGGCGGGGCGCGTGGAGGGCAGGAACGGCTCCATCACACAGATCCCCATCCTCACCATGCCCAACGACGGTCCGCGGGACACGGGGGGCACCGGGGACACGAGACAGGGGATGGGGGACACGGCGGGGCGGGGGCTGCCCCACTCCGGGAAATGGCAGGGCTGGGAAATACCGGATTGTTTTAAGCCGGTTTTGGGGAGCTCGTGGGGTGGTGAAGCCCTGGGTGCTCGCTGAGGTGCTTTGGGGTTACCATCCCCCCCAAACCTTCCCTCTGGGCCCCCCCACGGGGGAAGGGTGTCAGGCAAAGGGCAGGGTTGGGGACAGGGAGAGCAGCCAGGGGTGTCACAGGAAACCCCACTTGTCTGGGTGCCCCAGAGGGGACACAAACCATGCGAGCCACCCTTCATCAGTTCCCCGTGGGGTCCCCTGCTGTGCAGGGGGGTGACACTGAGGCCCCCCACCCCAGCCCCGTGGGGGCTGTGCTGCTCCAGTGATGCCCTGGCATGGGGCGTGGCTGTGTCCCTGAGCAGCCACACCCTGTGGGGGGCTCACAGCACCCTGGTTCCCCCCAGACATCACCCACCCCATCCCTGACCTGACGGGTTTCATCACCGAGGGGCAGATCTACGTGGACCGGCAGCTCCACAACCGGCAGGTTCGTTCCCGAGCCCCTTCCCGGCTCCAGGGAAGGACTGGGGGGGCTGGAGACATCCCAGGATAGAGGTGCTCAGGGCAGGGGGTGGGTGTTGGACACATGGGGGTCCCTCTCGCCCTGCAGATCTACCCCCCCATCAACGTCCTGCCGTCCCTGTCCCGGCTGATGAAATCGGCCATCGGAGAGGGAATGACCAGGAAGGACCACGGGGACGTCTCCAACCAGCTGGTGAGGGCTGGGGGACACTGAGGGGGGTGGTTTGTCCCTTCAGAGCCCTCTGCCCCTGCCTGGGGAGGCTGAGGTGAGACCAGGCCAGGCTGGGAGAGCTGGGGGGGTTCCTCTGGAGAAGAGAAGGCTCCAGGGAGACCTGAGAGCCCCTGGCAGGGCCTAAAGGGGCTCCAGGAGAGCTGGAGAGGGACTGGGGACAAGGCATGGAGGGACAGCACACAGGGAATGGCTTCAGCATGGAAGAGGGGAGATTTAAACGGGATATTGGGAAGGAATCCTTCCCTGTGAGGGGAGGCCCTGGCACAGGTTGGGCAGAGAAGCTGTGGCTGCCCCTGGACCCCTGGATGTGCCCAAGGCCAACCTGGGCTGGTGGGAGGTGTCCCTGGGTGTCCCTGGGTGGGCTCTGAGGCCCCTCCCAGGCCCCCCATTCCCTGTGTCCCGTGGCTCTCCCAGTACGCCTGCTACGCCATCGGGAAGGACGTGCAGGCCATGAAGGCGGTGGTGGGGGAGGAGGCTCTGTCTGCCGATGATCTGCTGTACCTGGAGTTCCTGCACAAGTTCGAGAAGCAGTTCATCACCCAGGGTGAGCTGGTGTCCCACACGGGGGGCTCTGGGGGCTGGGACACCCCCCAGCACCCCGTGGCTCCTGCACCCCCTCCCTTCCCAGGGCCCTACGAGAACCGGAGCATCTTCGAGTCCCTGGACATCGGGTGGCAGCTGCTGCGCATCTTCCCCAAGCAGCTGCTGAAGCGGATCCCGGAGAACATCCTGGCCGAGTTCTACCCCCGCGAGGCCAAGGCGCCCGACCCGGGCCCGGTGGGCACGGCCCTGTGACCCCCTCCCCCGATCCCCCCGGGCCACCCGAGCGCCCCCCGGTGGGGCAGCCTGGGAGTGGCAGCCGGGAGGGCACAGAGGGTGTCCCAAAATTGCGACGAACCCCCTTTCCCTGGTGAATAAAGTGCTGTGGTCACCACCCCCCTCTGTGCTCTGGTGCTTCCCGCTGCGGCCCTGGCCTTCCCACCCCTGGAGACCCCTGCCCAGCCCATGCTGCCCAATGCAGGCAGAGGTACAGGCAGCCCCACGCATCCCCCACTGAGCTGCATCTCCTCAAACCACCCCATTTCCGTATTTTCGGGTTCCTGGGGCGTGTAAATGCCATGGGGGGCAGGGGGGTCCTGCAGAGCTCCCCGGGCAGGGTCCCCAGCACCTCCCCAGTCCGAGCACCCGCAGCCGGGGCGGGGCAGGTTTTGGTTCCCCCCTGCCCGGATCGGTGTCCCCTCTCCCGGGGGGGTCAGGGGGTGGTTTCACTTCCCTGCAGCAGCGGGAGGATGAGCCGAGAGCGGAGGCAGGGGCAGCTCCCCCTGCTCTGTGGGGCCGGGGCCACAGCCCCCACCATGGCCGGGGAAGGTGTCGGGGGGCACCTCGCAGGTAAGGTCTGTCCCTGGGGGATTTGGGGGGGGCTCAGGCGTGGCTGGGGGGGCTCTGTCTGTCTGTCTGTCTGTCTGTGTGTCCCCTGTGGCCACCACCGTGGCCTGGGAGAGGGTTTGCAGTGAGTAAAACCAGCCCAGAAGGGGCTGGAGAGGGGGGTCTCTCTCCCCAGCAGAGGGTCCTGGGGGTCTTCGCTCGGCAGCACGGAGGGTCCCGCGGGGACCCCCAGCCCTTGTGGGGGGTGTAAGATCCCGGGGGAAGGGGGGATTACAAAGCGGGGAGGGAGGGGGAAAGGCAGGTGGGATTTAGATTCCAGAGCTCATTCCCCACCAGATTAGGGATTCTGGGAAGGGTGGGAGGACGGGATGTGCCTCAGCCCCTCTGGGAGCTGCCCGGGGGGAAGCCGGGTAAACAACCCCTCCCCAAAAGCCCCCCACTGTGAGGACCCCGGAGCACTTGGGGACAGGGGATGTGCCCGGGCCCAACATCGGGGACCCCCGGGGCTCCCAGTGACTGTCCCCAGGGCCATTTCCCCCGGTACGTGGGGGGTCTCACGGCACCCCCCTGCCCAGACCCTTCACCCCAGAGCCCGGGGGGACACCCAGGGCTGCCGGGGACTGTCCAGCCCCCCGTGTCACCCCCTGTCCCCCCTGTCCCCCCACACCTCCTGGGTCGGTTCCCTGCAGCCATCCTGGAGTCCGGGAGCAGCGAGGAGGAGGAGGAAGAAGAGGAAGAGGAGGATGCAGAGGCAGCTACGGGACAGGTATCGCTTCCAGAATCGTTTCCCATCGGATTTCCCCCTCCCACCCCCTTAACTCGCGGGGAGTGAAGGGCGGGTGCCCCCCGTGTGCCCCCCATCCCGGCTGGGTGTCCCAGCTCCCGGGGCTGAGTGAGGGGTGGCACAGGCACAGCCTCCCCAGCGCTCGGGGCTCACCGGGACCTGGCAGCGCTGAGCCAGTGGAATGCCACTGGAATGCCAGCGGAATGCCAGTGGAATGCCCTGCCAATGCCGTGCCAATGGAACGTCTCACCAACCCCGTGCCCTGCTCTGCCAATGTAATGCCCTGCCAATGGAACGCTGTGCCAATGCCATGCCAAAACAACGCTGTGCCGGTGCAATACCCTGCCAACGCCAAGCCAGCCCAATGGAATGCTGGGCCAATCCAATTCCTCATGCCCGTTTCTCCCCCAGCTGCACCCACTCCCGGAGCCGGGCGATGCCGAGGGGCGGCTGGCACAGCTCGAGCAAGGTGAGGCTTGTCCAACCCCTGTGTCCCACCCCAATGTCCCACCCCCGCGTCCCACCCCCGTGTCCCACCCTGGCACATCCCTGTGGGGGTCTCAGGGCAGCTGCAGCCCCTCACAGGCCCTGTCAGTGGCGGTGTCAGTGGGACAATCCCTGCCCTGGCACGGATTGGGTGCCAGCCCTGCTCCTGGGTGACCTGACTGGGCTCTGCCGGCCCCTGGGCGTGGGGGGCTGTGGGTAGGACCCCCCCCCGGGGGCCTGGTGGGCACCTGAACCCCCGTGTGCCCCCGGCAGCGTCGCAGGCACTGCTGGCAGAGCTGGAGGCGCTGCAGATGGAGGTGGAGCTGGAGTGGCTGTGCCCGCAGCGAGTCCAGGCCCTCACGGCACAGGTAGGGGGGCAGAGCACCCCAACACCCTCCCCTCGCAGGGACGAGGGTGCCAGAGCATCCCCCGGCACAGCTGGAGCGGGGGGAGCGCTGGGAGCCCCCATCCTGGGACGGGGGGGTCTCCTCCCAACCTCAGGGGGACCAGGAGAACGAGCGGCTGCAGAGGCTCAGCCTGGCCCGGACGGCAGAGGAGGGGACACGCGAGGGGGGGACACCTGGAGGGGGGACCCCCAAGAAGGTGCCCCCTGAGGAGAAGTCACCTGAGGGGGTGACTCCCGAGGAGGATCCCAACCCTGCCCCACGCTCCGGGCAGCAGCTCCCAGGTGAGCCGAGGGAGTCCCGTCCCATCCCATCCCGTCCCCAGGGGTACCCCCGGCGGCCCCCCCGCAGTGTCCCCTGGGCCCAGCTTAGCCCGGCGCCGCGGTTTAGGCTGTGCCTGAGCCCTGGTTGGGGTTAAACAGGGCGAAAGCGACACCGAAATGAGCCGCGAACGGTGAAAGGAAAGCGCAGCTGCTCCCGCTTCCCCTTTCCCATCCTGTTTTCCCACGTCAGCAATTCCGGCTGTTCGCAGCCTGTGGGAGCCGGGGGGGCTGGGGGTGCATCCCTCGAGGGGCTGCACCCCTGGTAGAGATACCCAGGGGGTCAGACCCCTGGGAGTCACCCCGTTCCCTCCAAACCCTCCACGTGCAGGAGATGCTCTGACTCCACCCCTGGGCTGACCCCTGGGGTGCTCGGGGTGCTGAGCACGACCCCGGGGGTCCCACCCCCATTGCCACATGTCCTTCCCTCCGGGTCACCTCCCAAATCCAGCTTCCAGCTGGACTCTGGTGACACAGCAGGGACAGGGGTGACCTGAGGAGTGAGTCCAGCTCTGGGGGGATGCTGCATTCCCCTTTCCCACCCCTCACCCCCACTTTGTTCCCAGATCTGCAGGAACAGCTATCCCGGCTCCTGGAGCAGCAGGAGGAGCTCACGGTCCAGGTCCAGGAGCTGCAGAGGCAGAACCAGCACCTGCAGGCCCAGGTACCTCCTGGGACCCCTCTGGGCCCCCCGGCCGGGCAGGACCCTCCCTCCTCCTTCCCCATCCACTCCTCAGCCCCGCGGCTCCTCGCTGGGCTCAGGACAGGGTTTGGGGAAAGAAACCCCCCCCTCTACAGCCCCTGATGTCCCGGGGGGTGGGCTGGGCACGGAGGGACCCCCAGCGAAGCCATGGCTGAGGAGGGGTTTGTCCTGGCACAGCTGGAGCTGGAGCAGGAGGAGCGGCAGCGCCTGCGGGCGGCCCTGGCCACGAGTCAGCGGGCACTGAGGTCCTTCAAGAGAGGTGAGCAGGGTCCCCATGGCCCCTCCCCAGCCCCTGGCAGCTCCCAGTGCCACCAGTGCCACCAGTGCCGTCCCGTCCAGCGAACTGGTGCAGCCGAAGGCCGGGAGCTGCCGGGGGTGGCCGGGCCGTGAGTGTCCCGCCCACGGAAGGCGGCAGTGCCGAGGTGCCCACGGTGGCACATGCCTCCCGTGCTGGCACCGGCCCCCCCGACCCCCGCTGTCGCCGGCAGTGTCCCAGATTGTCACCCAGGATTACTGCGAGGCGCTGGAGCAGCTGGAGCTGGAGCAGGACCTGCGGCTCCACGCCGAAGCCTTTGCCCACGAGGTGCCTCCGGTCCCGGGTGGCGCTGGGGGTGGGGGGCACCCCTGGGGGGTGGGAGAGCGGGGGGTGCTTGTCTCATCTTCCCTTGGCACCCCAAGGCTCATCCCACGGCTGGATCCATCCCGGGCTGGGTGGGATTCTCCCGAGCACCAGCCCTGGGATGAGGCCGGGTGGGTTTTGCCCCAGCCCCCCCCAGGGATATTTCGGTGCCCCGGGGGTCGGTCCCTCGCTGAACCGGCCCCGCGGGCAGATGCTGGTGCAGCAGAAGGAGGCGAACAGGCAGAGCTCGATCCTGCTGCGGGACGGGCCCGACGCCCGGCTGGTGGCAGCGCTGCAGGAGCTGGGACGGCTCAGCCGGGAGCTGGAGGAAACCAGGCAGGAGCAGCGGCAGCGGGTGAGGGGCTGTCCCCGGGGGTGGGGGGCTGTTCCCGGGGTTGGAGGCTGCCCCCGGGGGTGAAGGCTGTCCCCGGGGGTGGGGGGACATGGAGTGGGGAGCAAGGCTGGGTCCCAACAAGGCTCCGGGGCTGGGGGGTGTCCCCTGGGTGCGGGAACTGGCTGGGACCAGGATCAGACCCCTCCATCCCCGCTCCCTGTGCCCTCTCTGGAAAGATTCTTCCATGGATTTCCACCAGCACGTTTCGGGTCCCACAGTGGGGCCGCCCCACACACTGAGAGGGCTCCATCACCCAGCGGGATTTGTCCTTGAAGCCGCTTAAAGTTCCTGCCAAGTGGTGAATTTGTGGGGCTGTGGCACAACCCCCGCGGCAGGGCTGGCCGGGGGTCCCCAGCTCCCGGGATCCCCCATCCCGCAGGTGGAGGAGCTGCAGGAGCAGCTGCGGATGCGGCCGGAGCAGGAGGAGCTGGATCGGGCCCGGGAAGCTCTGGCTGAGGCGGAGGAGCAGAAGCTGGAGCTGAGGAGGAGGCTGGAGGAGGCTGAGGGGCGGCTGGCAGGGCTGGAGGAGGAAGGTGGGTGCTCTGCCCCACGTGGAGGGAGAACAGAGGTGCCCACGGCCCGGTGGGCTCGGGCTCCGAGGGTCACCAGCTCCAATCCCACCCCATTGCAGCGGGATCCCTGCGGGAGAAGCTGGCCCAGGACCCTCTGCTGCAGACCCGGGCCCCCGAGCCCCCGCCGCCCCCCCCGCTGCCACCGCCGGGCCCCGCTGTCCCCGTGGAGTAGGTGACACCTCCAGGCATCCCGGGCACCGCCCGCGGCAACCCCAGGGGCTGCCGGCGTGGGCCTGCCCTAGGGAACACCCAGAATGGGGGCAAACCTCGGCCACCCGCCCCTCGGCTGTCCCCGAGCCATGTCCGGCTGTACCCAATGTCCCCGAGCCGTGCCGGGCTGTCCCCAGGCTGTCACCGAGCCGTGCTGAGCTGTCCCTGGTGGGAGGTGCAGGATGGCGGGGGGTCAGTCCCCAGCAGGGTTTCGGGGGGCTGGGGGTGTCTGTCTGTGCTGGGGGTCCGGCTGCCCCTCTCTGGGGGGCAGTGGGCAGGGCGGGCACTGCTGGTGGGTTTGGGGTGAGGGGGCAGCTCTCACCCCCCTCTCCCTTGCAGTCCCCTGGCAGCCATCAGGCAGAGGAAGGGGGTGGCAAAGCGGCAGCACGGTAAGTGCCGGGGGGCTCCTGGTGCCGGGGTCCCCACAGTGCCACGGGGACAGGGAACCCCGGGCATAGGGAGGACAGAGCGGGAGAAGTGGGTGGGAGAGGCCGATTTGGGGTTTGGGGTGCCCTGCAGATCCTGCCCCCCAAAGGAGGGTGTCAGCACCCCTGTCCCGCCAGGCACAGGGGGCAGATGGGCCCTGGCAGGATGGGACCACGCTGGGCCACGGCCACGGGAGGGACCCTGGGTATGGGGGGCTGCGGGGAGCGCTGTCATGAGCTTGAGGGGTCTCAGCACGGTGGCACCTGCACAGATAACCTGGGAGCAGAGGATGTGAAAGCCCAGGATGGCAGAGCCCAGGATGGCAGAGCTCAGGATGTCAGAGCTCGGGCCGTGCAGGAGATGATGGAGAGGATCAGGACCGGGGTGGTCCTGCGGCCAGCCAAGGACAGGGCACACCTGGGCCAGGTAGGCAGGGATGGGTCCCAACAACGTCCCTGGGCAGTCCTGGCACTGGGGCGGGCTGGAGAAGCACCGGCAGCCCCAGGGAGGAGCAGGAGCAGCAGGATGAGCCCCCCTCCCTGCCCCCCAGGACCCGGTGGCCGGGAAGCGGAGGAGCGTGGTGCTGGAGCTGCAGGGGATCCTGGTGAGCAGCCCTGTCCCACGGGTGACCCCTGTCCCACTGCCCTGGGGGGTCCCCGTGCCCGGTGTGACCCCTCGGCCGTGTCCCAGGGTGCCATGAGGAGGCCGAGCCGGAGGCGCAGCGGGCGCCGGGGCAGCGCCAAGGGCCGGGACCGGCAGCTGGAATCCATCCTGCAGCGGCGGCGCCGGGCCCTGGAGGCAGCCGTGGGCACCTCCGTGGAAACACCCACGGGCACCTCTGGGGGCTCCTCCAGGGACACCTCCAGGGCCTCCTGCAGCCCCCCAGCACAGGACCAGGCCGGGGCTGTGAGCAGGCCAGACCCTGGTACGGAGCAGGGTGCGATGCAGGGTCGGGGCTGGGTGACCCTCCTGGACTGGGAATGTCCCCAGGGAGCACCGCAGGGGTGACACCCAGCCCTGTCCCCTCCTGTCACCGCTCCCGGGCTCCCCAGCCCTCTCACCCCTCTCCCTCTGTCTCTTCCCAGGGAACACGGACACGGCCCCAGCCGGGTGCCCCCCGGAGGGCAGGGACGGGGACAGGGCCCCGTTCAGGCCCCGGGTGGGTGGTGGCCTCCCCAGGACACGTCCCCTCAGCCGCCCGGCCCGAGGCAGTGGGAGCCCCGGGCTGGAGCAGCTTCCCACGGCGCTGCCAAAGCCTCCCCAGCCGCTCCCACCCTCGTTCTCCAGCAGTTCCCACCCTCCTGGGCTTCAATGAGAGCGAGGTGGCCCCGTGTCCCCACGTGTCACGTTGTCACTGCGTGCTGGCCGAGGGGGTGGCAGCGGGACGGGGCTGGGAATGGGGCTGGGGCTGCTGCAAAGGGGCCCTGGGAAGAGGTTTGGTGGGACCAGAGCAGGAACTGGGATGGGAGGGGATGATGCTCTTCAACCCATGTTTGGTTTTTAGCCTTGGGGTCTCCAGGAGATGGGTTTTCATGGAATTCCAGACCACTTTGTGTTGGGAGGGACCTTAAATCCCACCCTGCCATGGGCAGGGACACCATCCCCTATCCCAGGTTGCTCCAAGCTCTGTCTGGGTAACCTGTGCCAGGCCCTCACCACCCTCCCAGGGAGGAATTTCTTCCCCCACTCCCCCCATCCCTGTCCTTTTCTAACACAATACAATACTAAAACCATTTATTCAGTTGGGTGGGGGAGCAGTTGGGGACAGGCAGGACTGTTGCTGCTGCCAGCATCCCCAAGGAGGGGGCAGATCCCTTCCCGTGGTGCCCCCATTCCCTGGGAACAGCCTGGGAGCGCTCGGGGGGCCAGGGCTGGGGTGTCCCCTCTCCTGCTTCCTGAGTGCCTCCAAATCCAGCCTTTTGGGCCATTCCCAGCCCCACCTGCTCTCACCTCTCCCTCCCCTCCCGGCTCAGCACCAGGGAAATGTCAGGGCCCAACCAGGGAGCCTCCCCCCCCATCCTGCCCTTTCCTGGTGCCCGCTCCGTATTGAGTGAGCTCCTCTCCCCTCATTACCTCCTCCAAACATCCATGAAAATCAATGATCCCACGGGATGGGAGAGCCAGGAGCAGGCAGAGATGCCTCGGAGAGCAGCTGTCTGGGTATTAATCCATGGCTCTTAAATGGAATCATGGAATTTGGGTGGGAAGGGGCCTTAAAGTTCACGCAGTCCCACCCCCTGGGACACCTCCTTTCACCAGCCCAGGTTGCTCCAAGCTCCATCCAGCCTGGCCTTGGGCACTTCCAGAGATGGAACACCACTTCCAGGGGTGGGGCATAATCATAACAACAACCAAACACCTCACCCAAGTGGTAACTCCCACCCTGTTTTAAGCTGGAGCACCTCCCAACCCCTTTGTGGCTGGACCCTGGATCGTTCCTGCCTTGTCCTGGTGAATAACCAGAGATTTTCCATCGTCTTATCCCCCTGGCTTCCCATGGTCCCTGCGTGTCAGGGGGATGTTTTGGCCCAGGTTGGGCTCCTGAGGGTGTTTCATCCCAAACCTCCCTGCTCAGGGCAGGGGATGGATCCCAGCGTGGTCCTCCCTTCCCTGCGGCCTTTCCCTCTCCTTTTCCTTGTTAAACATTTATGGGGTTACACAACTTCCCTGAAATCTGGTTCAGCTCGAGGAAAGGAGTGTCCTCAACGTGATCCAGGCAGGAAAAATGGACCTGGCAGCTGGAAAAACACAAGTAACCAACGCTGGCTCCTGGCTGAGTGGTCGGGAAAATGGGGATTAAAAGGGACCAGGAGAGACACAAAGGCTCCTGATCCTCTTCATTTCCATCCTGGTCCATCCCTCCATCCTGCCCTGTGCTCCTGTCACGGCTCTCCAGCAGTTTTCCATCCCTCCTGCGTCAGGTTCAGAGGGAGAAAACCCCACTCTGTGACCTTGGAGCAAAATTCCAGACCCCTGGGCTGGAGAGCAGCTTTTCCATCATATTATTTCCCTAAAATCCCCAGAATTAATCATTATGGGAGGCTCTTCCCATGGCACCAACTCCACTGGGAGCTGGCTGCACCATCCCTGGAAGCGTCCAAGGCCAGGCTGGACAGGGCCTTGGAGCAGCCTGGGCTATGGAACATGGCCCTGGGTGGGATTTAAGGTCCCTTCCCACCCCAACGATTCCAGGACTCCATGAATGCTCAGGAGCTGCCACATCCAGCCTCTCCAACAGGGCAAACTTCTTCCATGAGCCCTTTTCCTTACAAACTCCTCCCAAAGCTTTCCTGCCCCATGCCCCTGCCCTGCTGGATCCAGGGAATTCCTGTGCCTGGCTGCCAGGGGGGTATCTCATCCTGGCACAGGCTGAAGGTGGCCAAAAACATGGAAAAAAGGGATTTTATGGTTAGAAGGACCAAGAACAAAGGGTTCACCTCCTTCTCAGTACGATTTTTTCCCTTTGGGAAAAGAGGGCAGCCTGGAGAGGTCAGAGCTCTGGGAATGCCCAGTAGAGACCCGAGAGAAGCTGAGGAGATTCCCATGGAGTGGGGACTCACTTTCCATGAACAGCTTCCCAGCTGGAGCAGCTCCAGCAGCTGGAGCACCCTGGACAGTCCTGGCCAAACCAGAGAGAAAAACGGGAATTTCCCAAAACTGAAACCAAACCACACCAGCAGTTGGATCCTTCCAGGGGGGCAGGGACAGGTCCTGCCCTCGCTGTCCCTTCCCCAGAAACGTCGGAATCCTCCGGATTTATTCCAATTCCTCCTTCTCTTTAATTAATGGCTCTGTGTAAACCTCAGGTAAAGCTGGAGCCCGTCCTGTGCCATCCCGAGGGAGCTGCTCCCCAAAACCCCCCAGGCACAAACACCTGGGTGGGAATTCCCACGGGTGGCACTTCCTGGGCCGGACCCTCCTCGGCTCAACGGGAGCCCGACACCCTCCTCGGCCACATTCCCGAGGGATCAGCAGAGCTGGAGGATGTGGTGCCAGCCCTCCCCGTGTGTCTGGCAGCTCCAGGCGTGTCCCAGTTCATCCATTCCCAGGGAGATCCCCTCGGGAGCCAGGGGAGGGTTGGGCGAGGTGTGGGCACCTCGGCACAGTCTGGGGTGTCCCAGCTCCGTCCCGGCTCCGTCCCAGCTCCCTGGGCTCCCAGCTCAGTAGATCTTCTGCCTGCTGGGCAGGATGGCCTCCTTGATGAAGGAGAAGATGAGCAGGATCCCGGAGCGCTTCCCTCTCTTCCCCTTGGTGAAGTAGTTGGACACCACGTCGTCTGCGGGAGGAGGGAGGAGGGGAATCACAGCCAGCCCCGGGAATGCCACAGGACCCCGGGAATGTCCCACCGACTGCAGGGAGCCCAAAGCCTGAGCCCCCTTTCCTGGCACGTAGTGGGGATCCAGGGAAGCGACAGCACCCGGGAATGCCGTGGCTGCTCCATCCCTGGAGTGCCCAGGGCCAGGCTGGACGGGGCTCGGAGCAGGGGGTGTCCCTGGGGCTGGAACCAGGAGGGCTGGGAGGTCCCTTCCCACCCGGGCCGTTCCAGGAGCCCGTGGCTGAAGGGGTGCAGGATGAGGCCGGGTTTCCCTGCCCGCCTCCCCCACAGCCCAAGGAGGGAAGGGGGTGCAGGGAGCCCCCGTGTCCCTCCCTGTCCCTCCCTGTCCCCCCTCACCTCCGGGCTGCACCGTGGAGGGCAGGACGTTCTCCCCGGCCGACAGCGACACGAAGAAGGCGAAGGGGATCAGCCAGAGGCAGAAGGTGAAGTAGGCCAGGACCTGTGGGCAGAGCAGCTGAATTCCCACCTGGAGCCCGGCACAGGGCCCTGGGGGTGGGACCTGCCCCGCAGCCCCCCAGAGCCGGCACTGCCCCAGGAGAAGGGAATGAAAGGAAGAGGGAAGAGCTGGGCTGGCTCCTCCTGCCCCGGGGTTCTCGTTCCTTCCAACCATAAAATCCCATTTTTCCCATATTTCCTCAGGGAGAGATGAGCATGGAGGTGCTGAGCCACCAACCCCCTCCCCAAACTTCCTTAAAGAGATGGGTTTTTATTTATTTTGGTGACTTCTTCAGTTTGTTTTTAGAATTTGCACCAAGCAGCAGTAATCTGGGGAGGGGGGGCCCCAAAGAAGCCCCTTGGGGACTGTGGTCCTTTGCCTTGGCAAAGGATGTGAGGATGTGACATGGAATTAAGAGCATAAAAGACACAGAAGTGAGGAGCAATAGCTCCAAAAGGGAAGTGATTTGGGGTTGGCTGGGAAAGCCCCAAACCCACACTTGGAAGAAGAACCTGCAGTTTCCCAGGTACTTGGGAGGGAACAAGCTCAGGAACCCCCAGGGAAGGGCTGCAAAAATAACCCTGGGAGTGCTGGAGCTGCTGACCCAAAAACTGGCATTTTCCTCCCTCCCTCCCTCCCTGGCAGGAGCAGTGGGAGAGCAGGGAGCAGCCCCCCCAGATCTCACCTCAGAGAACAGGTAGAACTCCTCGGCAAAGAACTGGAACGCCAGGTAGTGATTGAGCACGACCAGCACTGCGGGGGGACAGCGGGCTCAGGGACTCCCACAGGGAGACTCCTGCAATGAGGACACCCCCCTGCCCCTCCCCACAGCCCCCCACACCCCATCCTGCTCGTCCTTGGAAACACCTCAAACCCCAAACTGCGGGACACTCCAAGGCCTCGGGGACCCCCAAACTCGGGGATGTTCCTGGGTGGGGTTTAAGGTCCCTCCCATTCCCGGATTCTGGAGCCCCTCTGCTCTGGAGCCAGGCTGGGAGAGCTGGGGGGTTCCCCTGGAGAAGAGAAGGCTCCAGGGAGACCTCAGAGCCCCTGGCAGGGCCTAAAGGGGCTCCAGGAGAGCTGGAGAGGGACTGGGGACAAGGCCTGGAGGGACAGCACACAGGGAATGGCTTCCCACTGCCAGAGGGCAGGGATAGGTGGGATATTGGGAAGGAAATGTTGGCTGTGAGGGTGGGGAGGCCTTGGAATGAATTTTCCTGAGAAGCTGTGGCTGCCCCTGGATCCCTGGAAGTGTCCAAGGCCAGGATGGAGCCCCCTGGGACAGTGGAAGGTGTCCCTGGGTGGGATTTAAGGTCCCTCCCAACCCAAACCAGTGTGAGTGGAAGCAGAGAGTGCCCAGGAAGCCCAGCATTCCCAGGAAAGCCCGGCATTCCCAGCTCCACACCCCCCCATGCCCAGATCGATCCCAGCCACATCAGCACCTGCCATTAAAGTGCCACCTGGAGCTCAAAGTCCTTCCCAGGCAGGGATAGCAATTCCCAAACCCCTGCTGCCCCCCAGAGCCCCCCGGGGATAACCCAGAGCCCCCCTGGGATGGGAGGACGAGGCTCCCCCTCCCCACCTCCCGCTCCC